AGGCTTATTGTATAGTCAGTATTATCAGTATTTTTCTGGTTCAACATACCTTATAGTTCATATATAACCTGTGTTAATTATGTAGATTGTACATTTAAAACTGTTACCAAGTTGTTAGAACGTAAGAGCGGAAACAAGGTCATATGAATTATTTTGTAAGTATCCTTTGTATCACAACAAAGGAAACGTTTTTTTTTTTTTTTTAATTATTTGAAAGAGAGCAAGAGAGTGCTCTCAGGCAAGGGGAGGGGCAGTGGGAGAGGGAAAAGCAGACTCCTGTTGAGCAGGGAGCTCCATGCCAGGGCTCTATCCCAGGACCCTGGAATCACGACCTGAGCCCAAGGCAGATGCTTAACTGACGGAGCCACCCAGGTACCCCACAAAGGAAATGTTTTTATTACTTAATTAATTAATTTATTTAAATTTTTTTTTTTTTTTTTTTTTTTTTTTTGAGAGAGAGAATGAGATAGCAAATGAGAAGCAGACTCCTGACATGGGACTCAGTCCCAGGCCCCTGGGATCATGACCTGAGCCGAAGGCAAACGCTTAAGTAACTGAGCCACCCAGGCGCCTGGAAATGTTTTTAAAAAGTCAGCTATAATAAAGTAATTTTATTACTTTACACACGTGTGCACACAAATACACAAACACCATGTGCTTACGTAGTTCAGTACCAGGCCCTACAAATGGAGGATGTAGCTTTAACTTTTCTTTTTCTGTAAACTAGTTTTAATATGTGTAATATGCAACTAAAGTTGTATTTATGAAGATTAAAATAAATTTCAAGCTGGTGAGAAAATTTGAAGAAACCATTCAAGATTATCCTTATTCAAGTTTCAGAGCAGTGTTCTTAGAATGATTGATTATAAAACTTAGCAATGTCAGGTTTCATATTTCAAACAGAATAAATTCCAGTGAAATTTATTTTTTTTATTTTATTTTTTAAAAGATTTTATTTATGTATTTGACAGAGACACAGTGAGAGAGGGAACACCAGCAGGGAGAGTGGAAGAGGGAGAAGCTGGCCTCCCGCGGGAGCCCAATGCGGGGTTCGATCCCAGGACCCTGGGATCATGACCTGAGCCGAAGGCAGATGCCCATTGACTGAGCCACCCAGGCATCCCTCCAGTGAAGTTTAGTAAAACGCTCAGAGTTCATATTTATGTACTGTTATCATTACTCTCTTACCTATATTGACATACTTATTCCATTGAGAAATGAATATTTGATTCAATATGCAGTATAAAACACTTTGCCAGATAGACTTGTGCTACATAATGTGTTTAAATGCTACTCATTTTTTTTTTAAGGTTTTATTTATTTGAGAGAGAGCATGCGAGAGAGAGCATGAGTGGGAGGAGGGGCAGATAGAGGGGGAGAAGCAGACTCCCTGCTGAGCAGGGAGCCCAAAGCGGGGCTTAATCCCAGGACTCTGGGATCATGACCTGAGCCGAAGGCAGATGCTTAGCTGACTGAGCCACCCAGGTGCCCCTTAAGTGCTGCTCCTTTCTAAGTGAATTAGTGATGTGACCTGAAACTTTTAAAATGGTTTTGCTAACCAGGTTTATCCTGCAGTTTCAGTTACTCTGTGCTTCCTGTTTTTAGCAGTTGCCTGGAGCTGTTGGGGCAACTGGTTTCCCTTTCTGGGGGGAGGGTGACATTAGTGGTGAAACTACAGTATTTCAAATGCTTGAAAGTTCATTTCACTTGTTACTCTTCAGGCTGTATATTTTATGTTGAAACAAAGATTTTTCTTTTTTTTTTTTAAGATTTTATTTATTTATTCATGAAAGAGAGAGAGAGGCAGAGGGAGAAGCAGGCTCCCAAGGAGCAGGGAGCCTGACGCAGGACTCGATCCCAGGACCCTGGGATCATGACCTGAGCCGAAGGCAGATGCCTAACCATCTGAGCCACCCAGGCGCCCTAAACAAAGATTTTTCTAACTGTACCATATTGTTTGAAAGAAATTAAAATTTGAGCTTTTTATTCAGTATTAGTAATTGCTGTACCTTATTGAAAGAAACTACTCTTAAGCTTGACACTGTAAACAGGTGACAAATGAAATATTTACCTACTTAATAGAAATCTGTCTCTTTTTTTTTTTGGCCAGATGATAAAGCATCTACATCTTTACGTTTTGGGGTTTTTTTTTTTTAGATTTTACTTATTTTTTTTTTTTTTTATTTATTGACAGAGACAGCGAGAGAGGGAGCATAAGCAGGGGGAGTGGGAAAGGGAGAAGCAGGCTCCCCGCAGAGCTAGGGAGCCCGATGCAGGGCTAGATCCCAGGACCCTGGGATCATGACCTGAGCCAAAGGCAGACGCTTAACGACTGAGCCACCCAGGTGCCCCATCTTTACTTTTAATATTACTATGAAAAATAGTTAAGCATTAGATAGATTGATTCTGTGGATAGAGTTCAAAATCTGTCATATAATGTTAAGATGTGTTAGATAAGATCATAGTAAAATTGTCATGAGGAATTGTTTGAAGATGATGATTTAAGAAAATCTTACCCCCTTACTTTCACATAACTGTATAGACTTCATGGCAGGTTTTATCCCATATTAGTGATAATCTATTTATGTTTACATTTTAGTTTTTTTTAAGATTTTATTTATTAGAGAGTGTGTGCACACAAGCAGAGGGAGGGGCAGAGGTAAAGGGAGAAGCAGACTCCCCATTGAGCAGGGAAGCCCGACGTGGGGCTCAATCCCAGGACCCTGAGATCATGACCTGAGCAGAAGGCAGAGGCTTAACAGACTGAGCCACCCAGGCACCCCTAAAGTTTTATGTTACCTTTGCTGAGAGTGTATAACTTGAATTTTTAAAATAAAATATATTTTGTTTAGTCCATGAATGACCTAAGAAACTGCTTTGAATTTTTCCTACAAATAATTTGAAGAAAGTAATAAAAAAGTTAAAATACATGGGGGAAATCTTTCTTAGTGTAATTACTACCTCTAATTTTTAAGGAAAGAAAAAAACCTGATTTTTAAAAAAGTTTCACTGAGGTATAAATACATACAAGAGGGGTGCCTGGGTGGCTCAGATGGCTGGGCATCTGCCATTGGCTCTAGTCAAGTTCCATTGTCCTGAGATTGAGTCCCACATCTGGCTCCTGGCTCAGCGGGGAGTCTGCTTCTCCCTCTCCCTCTGCCTCTCCCCGTGCTCATGTTCTCTCTGTATCTCTCTGTCTCAAATAAATAAATAGAATCCTTAAAAAAAAAATTGTGAAAAAAATAAATACGATAAACTACACAAATTTATTTTATTTATTATTTTTTTTTAAAGATTTTTATTTATTTATTTGAGAGAGAGAAAGAGAGCACACAAGAGTGGGGAGGGTCAGAGGGAGAAGCAGACTCCCCGCGGAGCAGGGAGCCCGATGCGGGACCCGATCCTGGGACTCCAGGATCATGACCTGAGCCGAAGGCAGTCGCTTAACCAACTGAGCCACCCAGGCGCCCTAAACTACACAAATTTAGAGTGTACAATAAGTTTTGACATGTATACACTTGTGAAACAGTCACCATAATTAAGATACTGAACATATCCCTGCCAAAAGTTTCCCTGGGTCCCTCTTTGCCTTACTGCTTACCCCTAGGCAACCACTGATCTTATTTCTGTCACTATAGATTAATTTGCCCTCTCTAGCATTTTATGTAAACAGGATCATAGAGTATGCAGTCTTGTTTGTCTGCTTTCACTCAGCATAATTTTGAGATTTGTTCATGTTATCAGTAGTTAATTACTCTTTATTGCAAAGTAGTGTTCCATTGTATGGATGTTCTACAGTTTACCCATTCACCTGTTCATAGACATTTGGGTTGTTTTTAGTTTATGGCTATTACAAACAAAGCTGCTATGAATATTTGTTTATAAGTCTTTACGTGAATATATGCTTTCATTTCTCTTGGATAATTACTTAGGAGTAGAAGGGTTGGGACATAAAGTAGATATGGGTTTAACTTTTAAAGAAATAGGAAACTTCCAAAGTGCTTGTACCATTTTTATAGTCTTACCAGCGGTGTATTAAAGTTCTAGTTGCTCTATTTCTTCACCAAGTTTGTCATGGTCAGTTTTTTAAAAATTTTAAACATTCTAGGGGACGCCTGGGTGGCTCAGTCATTAAGCATCTGCCTTCGGCTCAGGTCATGGTCCCAGGGTCCTGGGATCAAACCCCGCATCTGGCTCCCTGCTCGGCGGGAAGCCTGCTTCTCCCTCTCCCACTCCCCCTGCTTGTGTTCCCTCTCTCGCTGTCTCTCTCTGTCTGTCAAATAAATAAATAAAATAAAATAAAATAATCTTAAAATTTTAAACATTCTAACAAGCCTGTAGTGGAATATTTTTTTAATATTTAAAGATTTTATTTATTTGAGCACAAGTAGGGGGAGCTGCAGGCAGAGGGAGAAGCAGACTCCCCACTGAGCAGGGAGCCTGATGTGGGGCTCAATCCCAGGACCCTGGGATCATGACCTTGAGCAAAGGCAGATGCTTAACAACTGAGCCACCCAGGCGCCGCCATGTAGTAGAATCTTATTGTGGTGGTAATTTGCATTTCCCTGACGATAAATGATGTTGAGCATCATTTCATGTACTTATTTGCCATCTGTATATCTTTATTGATGAAACATCAGTTCAAATCTTTTGCATATATATATATCTATATAGATAGATATCTATCTATATAGATTATAGATATAGATATATATATTTTTTTTTTTTTTTTGAGAGAGAGAGTGTTCAAGTGTGAGGGGGTAGGTGCTGAGGGAGGAGAGAGAGAATCTTAAGCAGGCTCCTTGCTTAGCACAGAGCCTGATGCAGGGCTCGATCTCATGACCCTGAGATCATGACCTGAGCTGAAATCAAGAGTCAGACACTTAACCAACTGAGCCACCTGGTGCCCCTAGAGTTTTTCTAATTAAAAAAAAAAAAAAAATCATAACAGTAAATAGATACTAACATTAAGCCATTACATTACTGATTTTCTTTTCTAGAATTCAGCATACAATTGAAATAAAATGACAACCTCCTGGAGTGATCGGTTACAGAATGCAGCGGATATGCCTGCTAACATGGATAAGCATGCCCTGAAAAAGTATCGGCGAGAAGCCTATCATCGGTAAGTATTTTGTCTATTTAATCCTCAAAACATCTCTATGAAGTGGGCACATATTATCTTCATTTTACAGATGATGAAATTAATGTGTAGAGAAGTTAGGCAGTTTATAGATCATATAGCTGATTCATGGTTCAAACCCAGTCCAGAGTCTAGACTTTTTTTTTTTAATATTTATTTATTTAAATAATCTCTACACTCACCATAGCCTTGAACTCACGACCCTGAGATAAAGAGTTGCACACTCTGCTCTTCCAAATGAGCCAGCCAGGCACCCCCAGAGTCTAGACTTTTAACCACCAGTACACCATACTGCTGCTGCTGCATTTTAAAAGGAAATTTCTTGTTGTTCTTACATCTACGAATAAAAGTCCTTAACTGAAGAAAGTCTTTGGATGCTAGAAAATTGTACCCAGTTAATAGGAATGAAATTCTTTTTTTTTTAAGAACTTCTTAATTGACATTTGCCACAAACTGATGAACTGATGATAGTTTTTTTTGTTGTTTTTTAAAGATTTTATTTATTTGACAGAGCACAAGTAGGGGGAGCTGCAGAGGGAGAGGGGGAAGCAGACTCCCCGCTGAGCAGGGAGCCTGACGTGGGTCTCCATCCCAGGACCCTGAGATCATGGCCTGAGCTGAAGGCAGATCCTTAACCAACTGAGTGACCCAGGCGTCCCTCGATTATAGTTTTTAAATAGATTTTTTAAATTGTGTCTACTGGCTACTTTATTAGATCGAATGTGGGTAACACTCGGTATTAGCAGTATTTTCTTATATTAAGACTTTAACATTTTCTGTGAATCATTTTTCCTTTAAAAGTTTAAAATGTGGGCAACCCTCTTCGGTCCCCTCCCTCTTTGGGAGCTTTGTGCCATCACTCTATAACTTTATTATCGCTCAATAAACCTTGGTTTGCTGCCCACCAAAAAAAAAAAGTTTAAAATGTGGCTCAGTTAAGCGCCCAACTCTTGGTTTGGCTCAGGTCATGATCTCATGGATGGTGAGGTTGAGCCCCACATAGAGCTCCATGCTCAGCAGGGAGTCTGCTTAAGATTCTCTCTTTGCCTCTCCCCCTGCTCACACTCACTCACTCTCCCTCAAATAAATCTTTAAAAAGTTTAAAATGTAAATATTTTAAATTTATTTGTCACTTTTTTTTTTAAGATTTTTATTTTTTTGAGAGAGAGAGCACGAGAGGAGGGAGGATCAGAGGGAGAAGCAGACTCCCTGCTGAGCAGGGAGCCCGATGTAGGGCTCGATTCCAGGACCCCAGGATCATGACCTGAGCCGAAGATAGTCGTTTAACCAGCTGAGCCACCCAGGCGCCCCTATTTGTCACTTTTTTAAAAAGTTTTATTTATTTTTTAGAGAGAAAGAGAGTATGAGCCATGGGGGAGGGGCGGGGGGGAAGCAGACTCCCCAGTGAGCATCTAAGGCAGATGTTTAACCGACTGAGCCACCCAGGTGCCACTTACTTGTCACTTTTAATAGATTGAATTAAATGGCTGTTTCTGCCTAATCTCTAGTAGCTAAGATATGTGGAAGTAGGTCCTGCATTTAGAAATCACTTGTTTTTAGAAATTAGTGGTTTACGCTTTCCATAAATTAATAGAATAGAAAGACCTGGGCCCTGTTAGAACTATCTCTGCCTCCCATGTTGGGAAAGCAAGGCATAAGTAGAAATGCTGGTGTACTGGTAGTGCTAAAAAGTTGCATGGGAACTGCAGGAATCTATAGCAACTCGTAATTACTCATTTGTTTCTAAGCTAGAGGAAAGAGGAAATATTTGGTATTTTATACTTACTCAATTATTTGTCTTTATGCTACATACATTTGGCTATGATGTAAGATATTTATCAGTGGAAACAAGGGCCAGAATTATGCAATGAAGAGAGATCATCTAGTACACATCAGGTGTCATAATTGTATTTAATATGTCATAGCCTGAATGCTTCTGACTCATTTAGAATGATATTTCCTGGAAAATTTTAGACTGGCTCCGCACCCTACTTTCTTCATATGGTAGAGTGCAATCTGAAATAATAGAAACAGTAGGAAAAACACCTTCGGGGATTTAAATTTTTAGATCATTTAAAACTTTTTTTTTCTTTTTTCTTATTGTGGTAAAGTATACATAACATAAATTTGTCATCTTAACTGTTTTTAAGTGTATACTTAAGTGGTAGTAAGTATATTCACACTGTTGTGTGCAGCCATTACCAGTATCCATCCCCATAACTTCATTTTGTACAATTGATACTATATATATATATCTATTAAACAGTAAGTCTCCGTTCTCCCCTCCTCCAGCCCCTGCCAACCAACCACCATTATACTGTCTGTCTTTATAATTTTGACTACTCTAAGTACTTCATATAAGTGGAATCATACAGTATTTGTCTTTTTGTGACAACCTTAGCATAATGTTCTCAAGGTTCATCCATGTGGTAGCATATTGCAGAATATCCTTTTAATGTAAAATTTGGGTTCTTGAATTCTTGCAGGTATTTGCTTTTGTTAATTAAAAAAAATTTTTTTTAAAGATTTTATTTATTTATTTGACAGAGAGGCAGAGAGAGAGGGAACACAAGCGGAGGGAGTGGGAGAGGGAGAAGCAGGCCTCCTGTGAGCAGGGAGCCTGATGCGGGGCTCGATCCCAGGACCCTGGGATCCTGACCTGAGCCGAAGACAGAGGCTTAACTGACAGAGCCACCCAGTCGCCCCTGTTAGTTAAAAATTTTTAATAGAAACCATTTAAAAGGAAATTATCTTAGTTTTATAGTTAAGTCAGTTTATAGAATATTCTGTTTCTGGGGCTGTTTATTAAGACATTTATTAGAGTTGGTAATTTATCATTGGTTACTTTGATGGTCATTTGTCATAAACTACATTGTATGTGATGCTTTAGAATTCCCTTTTTTAGAAGAAGCTAAATATTTTTAGTTAAGTAAATAAACATCTAACTTCCAGCTTTTTTCTTGCTAATATTAGTCTTTTAAAAATGATGGTCATGGGGTGCCTGGGTGGCTCAGTTGGTTAAGCAACTGCCTTCGGCTCAGGTCATGATCCTGGAGTTCCGGGATCGAGTCCCACATTGGGCTCCCTGCTCGGCGGGGAGTCTGCTTCTCCCTCTGACCCTCTTCCCTCTCGTGCTCTCTATCTCTCATTCTCTCTCTC